CCGTCCCTTCGCTCTGTCATCTTGGACCTCATCTGCATTCACACATGCGTACGTTATACACACACTGACACACACACATCACCGAATGTTCCATCTTGGCAGCATGCTCATCCGTCCGGCGCTCACCTTCGCACCGTCCTGCGCAGGATATGAATGCGTGCAGACACGCACCGTCATCTTGAGCCTTCACCAGAGCTTCGCCCGAAAACTTTCGCCCACGCTCACCCCCCCTTGCAGCCTGACCGAGTGGGTGCACTCACACAAGCTTGTCTTGTGTCCTAAAGTTCATATAGGGGATGATCTGTCCATCTGTGCGCGTACCTCCTTGTGCATGGTTGTTGCTGCGATCTGGCCGCCTGAGGCTGTGCAAGCCTCCCGGTCGGCACATTGCAGCCAACAACGAGTGAAATTCGTCCCATTCGGCTCCGGCGGGTTTTGTCGCGCTCATCTCGGTTAGGGAGCGTATGAAACGTATCGTGTTGACCGGAAGACAGTGGAGCCAGCGCACGAACGGTCACACTCGAGAAGTATGCCCTCGAGAGCGAGGAGCAACCAGGACCCTTCTTGATAGCCAGAAAGACCACCCACAATGCCTCTCCCACACGCGTGCATTCCCGCTTGTGACCTCTACGGCGGCAAGGATGCACCCGCCGTCAGCGACCGCTGCACGCTCTTCGTGCAGCACCATCGTGACGACGCCTCCGTCTGTCGGTCACGCACCACCTCTGACGCGAGCACCACTTGCTCGTCCCATTCCCACGTGAGCCGGGAGCTCAGCGACGTGCCGAGCTCGCCAGATGCGGGTGACTCAGTGTCCTACTTCACGCCTCTCAACTCCCCACCTGCCGACACGCCTGTCAGGTACGTCAGGATACACGTGGGGAGGGAAGGAAGGGATGAGGGGTGTCTACGCGTCACTGGCGTCATGTCTCCTCTCCGTGCACATCTCTCTGCTTCTGATTCAGGTGGCGGACGCCTCAGACGACTCCTCACCCTGCGCTCGACCACGGCCAGTCAGTGGATGTCGGCTGCGGGCTGCGGTGCCATGCTGATGACCGGGACAGCTTGACGGCCGACCCGTCAGAGTTCTCCGCCGAGGTGACTCTCGCCCTGTCATTCGTATGCCGACAGGTACGCACGCTGTGAGATACCCTCCTCACTCTCGGGCAAACAAGTGGAGAGCCTGTCTGTTGGTGTTGTGCTGTGTCGTGTTTGCCTGCAGGCGAACATCTCTGCCAAGTCGTCCCGTTGCTCATGCATCGCACACCTGTTGGACCGGTTGGTGCGGCGGGGCGGCGGTGACGGCCTCCTGCCGTCCATCGTCGCCATATGCTTCTGCCTCAACGAGCGACTCTCGCCATCCCACCACGCAAGTGACACAATCACCAGCAGCAGCAGCAGCCACCCGTCCCCCTCTCCCTCTCCCCCACTCGCCCACGCCCCGTCGTCAGCGACCGAGAAGCGCTTCTCGCTTGAGTACGCCCGGAACGACGAGGATTTTCTGTGGCGCTTCCTGCCGCTGTGCTGGCTGGCGTACGCGATGCTGGTTGACGAGACGTCGGTGAGCACTATATCGATCGACGAGTTTCTCAGCCCGCTCTACCGCTGCGACCGATTCGCCCTGCGGTACCCCATTCGGAGCCAGCTCATCGGACAGTTCAACCGGCAGACCATGGCCCTATGGGTACGAGAGGGAAGGAGGGTGGGAGGGAAGCGCACACGCGACACGAACCCATGCTTCTCGTCTCCATCATATCTGCTGTGGTTCAGTCGAGTTTGGGGTTCCGTGTGTTGGTTCAGCGCGACGAGTGGGCGGCCAAGATCAGCCAACTCGGCGGCGGACGCGTCACGGTCGAGGTCGAGGTCGACCCAAACGCTTGATCGACCCCCACACCCACACACCTTCCCCGCCCACTGATCGACCCACTATTGCTCCTGCTGGCTGGTGACTCGGCACGACGGCTCGGCATCCGCTTGTTCCCGTTTTCCACCCCTCCTTCAACCCTCCTTCGCCCTCTCCCCTCCCCTCGCCTGTCGAGCGGTGGAGAATTCGCAGAAGCGCACCTCACACACGGTGGCGAACTTTGGTGATAGAGATGGGTTTGGGGCGGCTGGACCGACCAATGGTTGTCCGTCCGCCCCACGTACTCATGGGCATGGCGAGGAGGGGCAGGGGGGG